CAGATCGATTGCTATTAATACCAAGGCTATTTCTTGGTACCTATTTTAGAACTAGTATTTCCCTCGTGGGAGAGGGGGGGGGGGGGGGTTCAGAGCCCTATGGAAAGAAAGAATAATCCCACTGCCCCTAACAAGCATGTCGTAAAAGTCGAGTAATTAGGAATGTTTCCTTAAAGTCGAAGTGCGTCTGCGTAAAAGGCGGGGAACCAACAGTCTGCATGCAAAAAAAAGCCAGATCTGTAAAATGAATGGGACCGCACAACTCAAGTTGTGGAAGAAGATTAAAGTCCGTAAGTGAACCACAACATTCCGCATTTTTTGGGAGGGTTATTTTAAAGCCTCTGCCCGGCTGTCATCGTGGGCCCTAACTATAAACTACATGTTGAACGAGGTTTCTGGGACTTGCGCCCTGGCTATTCTCGCCCGAATGTTGGCACATTGTGTCACTGGGTGTTTATCCCGTGTGCCATCCTAGTTGAGTTTGTCGTCATTACTCAGTGAGTCAGAAATTATAAGTCAGCAAAATAATAATAGTAATAAAAATAATACTAATAATAATAATAATAATAATAATAATAATAGTAAAAATAATAATAATAATGATAATAATAATAGTAATAATAATAATAATGGAATATCAAAGACATTTTTTGCTATAAGAAAACAGCAATATCTGTGCCATAGTAAATTATAAAATCAATAGGGCACTGGAAATGTAAAAATTCGTGCTGATCCGTTTAGAAGTTTTCGAGATATCTGTTAGTGTGAAGCATACGTTTCCAAACGCACCGTAACAACACCATTTCGCTGTTTCATTTGTTCCGTTCCCTAGATTCCGTCCCCTCTGGCCTATAGGCCTCCATCTGATATAATTTACGACCCCGATCTGCCTCCACATGTGTACTCGAAAAGGGAAGCAGCCGCTGAGACAGTTCAGCCAGTGACTACGGGAGAATTGTACCATCTGATCAATGTGACACTGCAGAATGCCTCTCAAGGTTGGATACTGTTAGATTTATGATAGAAATTGATTTCATTGTCCTACGTATCCTCTTTCCATGCCCTTCCTTCTTTATTTTCTTATTCTGTTGACACTAATGTTACAACAACTACGACTACACACCATTACTACTGGGGCTACTGCTACTACTACTACTACTACTACTACTACTACTACTACTACTACTGCTGCCGCTGTTGCTGCTGCTACTAGTACTACTTCTGCTACTGCTAGTAGTACACTGCAACAACAACTACTACTACTATTACTACTACCACCACAACACTACTGCTGCTGCTGCTATTCCTTCCACAGCTGCCGCTACTGCTACTATTATTTGTTGTCTTTTCTACTAGTACAAATGCTACTGTTACTATTATCACTGGCACAGCTATTGCTGCTGGTGATTATGCTGCTGCTACTACTACCCATAGGCGCTGGACCTTGGAGCTCAGGCTCCCTGTACCCCCTTCCCCCGCCCATAAAATTTACAGGGGGCTAATCTCCCCCCCCCCCCCCGTTACCCCCATTTTCCAACCTATCTATAGACATACTCATTGTTTTAAAGTATTTTTTTTCTACATTTCATATTATTTCAAATGCATTATTATATTTATTTGCCACTCAGCACGTTATAATTATTATATTATAACGCAATTAAACAAGTCATATGTCGCTACTTCGTTCCGGCATTATATTTCTGTATAGCTAGTGAGACTTCTCACGCAATATGTCTATTCGATTTTCTAGCTTTTAAGCAGCAGGCTTGAGAATCAGCTGTACACACATGCAGTGATTGTAACTGACTCACAGAGCATGCTGAGAAATTGGACAACAGGCATACTTCGTGCAGAGTGGCAAGCATCACTTCAGAGGTCCCAGGTAGTTAGCATCCTTAGGATATTTTCTCCAGTTGTGCCGGTCTGTCGGAAAATGAGCAGGCAGATAGACTGGCTGGCTCTGCACCACTTGGTGATGTATGACAAGTTAGATATTTGAGGGTCCTTTGGGGTCGAGTAAACATTGCGGAGGCGCAGACGTATCATTTCGATCTAAGGAGAATGGCGCTGCAAAGAGTTATCAGGGGATTTGGCCGAGGCTCAACACTCAGGGGAAGGATGAGACGGATATACAATTAGACGGTTACTGGTACCATCGGAATTGGAACTTTTTGTTTGCTGCTGAAGATGGAGACTGAGCACTTATGGGAGTGTCCCGAGTGCTGTGATGTCGATTCATAATTCAACATTCAGTATTTAACAGCTTTTAAGCAGCATGAAATCTCGCTTTAGCTGAAAACTGTAAATTTGTGACATCGGATTGGATAAACAAACTGCTGCTACATTTGTCTTTTGTTTCTGTTTTTAGTTAACAATCAGTGGTCAGATAAACAATTTCTGATAATTTGGCTGTCTATTTGTAAAAACAAGTAAATAAAAACTGTGCTAGATAGTATATACTGGTTTGTCAGAGAACAACTACTGTAATACCAGCCATCAC